TTATAAGTAATAACACTCCAATAGAACATAAGTAAATACCTTACTATATATATATATATATATATATATATATATATACTTTACGCCTGCTAATAAATTGCTAATATGCGTAGAATTAAATTTCAAAAGCTTAAAAAGTTAAAACTCATATATTTATGTACAGCTATTTATCTGCCAGGCTTATATTTTCTGAATGTCACTATAAATTATAATGCTGCTGCAGCAAAGACCAAAGTAAAGGTAAAATGATTTATAATATTATGGTCACATACTAGCATCTATATACAATAATTATATTTATTGAATAATATTATAATTATTTATTACCATTGCTCACATTGAGAAAAAAAGACTTTAGATTTAAATAGCCGTTGAACGAATAAATTGAATTTTTTATCTGTGATTTATCAATACCTTCGTGCTGTAAGTTAAAACTTAAAGCTTATAATTATTTACTTGCAGACTTACTGAAATTATGTGGGTACAGCCGTATGGCCCGTATGGGGTAAGCCTGTATAAGTGTGGACACTTCTAATATTTATAACTAGGGCAGAAGACTTGTAGCTCTAAATATGCAAGTACTTATGCACTTAAAAACCCCATAATATGCACTTAAAATTTTTTTTAACACAAATATATACATATGTAATTGAATGCCTCCTCACAAAAGACGCCAGACACAAACTGATGCTCCCCAATAATCTGTGTGAAATACTTGCACTAAACGAAGAAAGAACATCATCACTATATTGGAATTCCTCAAAGAGCCCAACCTTCTGCATAAAATATAATARCTAATAACATTAGCAAAAATTAGAATAAAACACAATATGTAAACATATTTCAAAACTCATTGTATCAATTTTTCATCTATTTACAATATTTATTATTCTGTAAAAATTAATTAAACCATAATATGTATTTTGAAACGGCGTGCACACTCAAAAACCATATTATACTACAAAAATTAAAAATAAATAAATTTTTATCCAATCATATTGACTGTATTGTTTAAAATAAAAATGCCACAGTGGAAAAAATCGATTTAAGAACAGAAATATGTCTCAAAAGTAAAAAATAGCGTATAAAAATGTAAAATGTGAGTTTAAAAYCAAAAAACGCAAAATATGCATTTATATGCACAATAAAATTTCAAAACTAGCTTTGTGAAAGCATGAAATGTATTTGTATTGTACTTTGCTATTTTTGTGACTTGTACAAAACAAATATGCAAATGCTTCAAGTCCTCTGTCCTATTTATAACTCTATACAATTATTGTAATAAAATATATTGTTAAATGCTTATATATTGTGTATAGGTATATAATATGAATCTATGTAAAAAATAAATTCACTGTATTAAAATATAGTTAAGATTGTGAATGAAAATAATATACGAGAATATAACATATAAGATAACGTATTATCAGAATATACAGAATATA